ACTTCGTTGAGTTCGTTGGAACTCCTGCAAATTGCAGTGCTTCTTCCGTAGGAGACGAAAATTCGTTCTATCTTGAAAAACGATTGCTGGACGCCTTTTGCACCATTGAAGGCAGCAAATTCGTTTTAAAGAAATATCGTGAAGTCGGTGGGCTCGAATTACTTTTTGGATCTTGTTGATCATTTCTTTACATTCAGGTGATTCTGTTGAATTGGTTTCGAAGGAGTAACGTCAAACTCTAAAAACAACAGAGCTATGGCCTATGTGTCCTGCAACTTGACTATCCATAATTATCGTTGATAAAAGCGTGCAAGAACAATAACACGTGAATTGAGACAAAATTGAATCACTTCTTCTATTTATCTTATGATATTCTAATTTTACTTATTGTCCTAAGTATTATTATAGCACTCATCTTTTTGACCTTTTTATTGAATTTTTATCGTCAACTTTTTATTAATTAACGCATCTAGCCTCTAATAATAATTCCCCCCCCCCCCAAAAAAAAAAAAAAGGCTTCATATTTTTAAAATACATAAGAAAAAGGATATAAAAGAACTCAAAATCGTTTCAATTAAGATTTTAAATTAATTTGTTAAGATTACCTTGTCGAATGTAAAGACCCTATCAAAGTGCTTGCCAGCAATACTCTGCGATACTGAAACCTCTCGCTGGTACTCATTACAAGTCACCACTTCTGGCGCCTTGTTACGCAATTCATCACCACTAAACGGCCTGCAAATTTCCAATATTTAATAACCATCGAAAAAACCCAGAAAAGGAGACTTTGAAATTCAAACAAGTTTAGATATTTATATTTCAGAAAGAATAACCAAAGAGTAAAACCGAACATCGTTAAACAAAAATAACCCTAACATCATTAAAATAAAAGCATTTACCTACAACGGAGAAGAACCTGGACATTCACGCCCTTCTCTTTCTCGTGTCGACTTGACATTTTTGCCTGTGTGTATGTACGAAAGAGTGAGTTTGATTCGATTGTCGGAATTACAATTATCAAAAACTCACTCGCTGAGTGTGTGTTTGTGTGGGAAATCGAAATGAAAATGAAAATTGGAGCGGGATGAAAGTGAGATTTGAAATTTCTCTCTCTTCCCTTTTCTGATTTTGATCTGCCGTTCGACTGAATATAGAAATTCGAATCGGACGGTTCTAACTGGACCCATTAATAATACGGGCCGCAACTTGGGTTGACGGGTAATATCAATGGTCCAATAAACTAGTAGCCTTATCGGCTAGTAAAATTGTGGAAATTACGCAATTCCCTACTTTAAAAATTCACAATTTTAAAATCAGATGTTTTACTAATAATTCTAATATTGATATATACATTATAAAATATTCACCTCCATAAACCAAACCATAATATTATTCCTCTCTCTTCCTCTCCCATCTTCCCCCTTCTCTCACACGATAATTGGAATAGTGCGGCTCACCTAATCAATGAAATTAAAGTGAGTAAATTTGAGTGCGAATACCCCAATAATATACAACTCTGCTTGGAAAGAAAAAGGCAAAAGGATTGCAAAGGGTAACCAATTAATAGATCTGTTTTTGCTACCAATGAATGGTATGCTACAAGGAGAGGATCGATGCCGCTCCTCCACCTATCCCATCTTCTCTTTTGCTATGCGAAGGGAATTGGCACTACGAATACAAGATCGACACAGCTGAGCGTTCACCGCTCACTTGCAGCAGCGTTGACTGCAAGATTGGCGTAGCCAAGCGTTTATCGCTCGTTCAAATCAGATCACCCGTTAGAGGCCTTCCAGCTGCCAACTTTTTTCTTTCTTCTTTGATTTTGTGGTAATGAGAGTTTTTAGCCATTGTTTGTTAACCATTCTCCCACATTCTATTACATTATTTTTTCAACAATATTCATTTTCAACCATATGTTCTCCATTAAAATAATATTACACATATATCAAAAACTTTTTCTTTTTTTAACCATACATTTCAACATCATCCACTGTTCCATACTCCAATTTTTGAACTTAAAGGGCCACAAACGGTGCCTTAATTAGATTTGCAGTGTATTGAGGTGGCAGTGGCGTTGATTGTTATTGTTAGTAGCTGTTGTGGTGTTTTGAGGTATAGGTAAATTGACACCGGCTTGTTTGGGTTTTTTTTTTCTCTCTCTTTTTTTTTTTTTTTTTTTAGTTGGTGGCGGTTGTGGTGTATGGAAATGTAGGTCTAGGTGCCAGTAGAGATGGAGGATATAATGGACTTGGGGAGATGGTGCAGGTAGTGTTATGCTGTGTTTGTGACCAATAAATTAGTTGAAAATTGTGATTGTGACTCACAATTGATTAAATTGTGATCGAAAAGTTAATCATAACCAATTAATATACTAATTTTCAATGAATAAATGAGTTGTAACTAATAAAATTTTTGACTTTGCGATCGATTAATAATCTGTGACCTGTAAAAATTTTGATTTGTGATCAATAAATTGATAAGTGTAACTAAAAATTAATTCGTGACTAATTAATTTTTTTATTTGTAATCGATGAACAAATTGTAATCTACAAAATTTATGAACTATGATCTTAAAATAATATGTGAAATAAAATTTCTAATTTGTGATCAAATTGTATAAATCTGTGACCTAAACCTATTTAATTAATAAAATAATTAATTAACTAAAATCATAAATAAATTGTAATAAAAAATTCTGAAATTACTTGTTTTCTTGATTTTGAAATGTATATACTTAAACTCTTACTCATAAAATTTTTCCAGTAAAATTTACGAAAATTACTTCATTAGCATTTTTAGCCCCTATTTGCAGTTTTTAAATGGTTGTACTACATATACATCACAACTTACTGATTAGTATACATACACATAATGTGGTGAAATGTTTTTTTTCACTCTTTTTTCCTCCAAATTTATTTTCGAACATATATTTCATTGGATTTAAAACTATATTAATTTTTTAACTATATATTTTATTAACTTTTATCAAAATCTGTAAAATGAAAAAAATAAATTTAGTTTTAACAAAAAGCAAAGGGTAATCTATCAAGTTCATTGTGGAAAACATTCCCACCTTTAATTTTTTATATTTTTGCCCTCATTTCAACCTTTATTTGCGCTGAACGTCCTTTTTACCAATTTTTAATTTAAAATGACCAAAATACCCTCCTATTTATATAAAACAAAAAAAAGGAAAATTGCACCCATAGGCCCAAATTTTTGAAAACTACAAATGAGTCCAAATTTCAAAAAAGCCGTCACCTTCTTCCACAAAAGCTCCCCCACTCCACCACCGGCCTCAACCTCAACAACCACCACAAAAGCTCAAAGCAAGTGATAACTTACGTAGATTCTGAAATGGGATTTATGACCTCTCCTTTTTTTAAGGATTTAGCAGTTAAAAGCTTGACAGCCTCTTGAATTTCATGGCAGGGAGATGAAGACTGGATATAGGAAAAGCCAAAAAAAGATCTAGTGCATCGCTTACTCTATAATGCTCTAAACCCCAATTCTTACAGTTCCCACTAGACAGAAATACAATCAAGCTCTTAAATACTCTCTTCGCATTCTCTCAAGCCGCACGACCCCATCGATAGTTTCTAACGAATCCTCTATGGTGGAGTCCATCAAATGCCACCTTGTTACCGCTGGTAAGTCCTCCGAAGCCCTTACTTTTGCTGACCTTTACTCCAAATTTTCACTGAAATCAGAGCCTAGAAGCGTAAAGAACAAATGGAATCTCATCTATTTGCTCAAGACAGTTTCGGAGGATCTAAAATCATGGAAAAACCAATCCCCCAATATAATTTCTAATGGGTTCTTAGACTCTACGTTAGTTGGTGGATTGCCTACATTGCTTGAAAACGCTGAATTTAATAATAATTCTCGGGATATTGGCAACTTGATTAAGAATTTGAGTATTGAAGAATTTAAGGATGATCCTGATAATCTGTTGGGTCTGGGTTATAATTTTCAATCATTGAGTAATATGGAAAAATTGAAGAAGAATCGAGGTGAAGGAACACTGGGCGATTATTCTAGTAACTTGAAGCGTTTAGGTGATAATTTGAGTGGATTGAGAGCAGGAGTCGAAAGAGGAGATATTTTTATTTTTATTTTTATTTTCATTTTTAATGTTTTATTAAGGTTTCTGGACTGATTTGCACTTTTTTAAAAGTTCAGGAGTATGATTGCAATTTATTCTTTATTTTTCATTTCTTTTTGTTTTTGTTTTATTTAAATAGAATAATATATTGGTCATTTTATATTAAAAATTGGTGAAAATGATGTACATCATAAAGAAAGGTTGAAATGAGAGCAAAATGAGAAAAAATGGAATGTGAAGACGTTTTCCACAATAAACTTGTTAAATATGGATGTTTTGTGCCAATTATCCAAAAGCAAACACAAGCTTGTTGTTTTACTCATAAATGCAAGGGCTACCCTCCTACAAATTCCTTTGACTTTATGTGGTCTAGGAACCTGTTTGGGATTGATTTTGAGAATTAATTTTTTTACCGTTAAGAGAAAAGTGGAGTCCACTTGTGAAAGAATAAGTCAAATATGACGGTTGAAATTGTGAAATAGCGGTAAAAAAAACAATTTTTTGAAGGAAAATCACTCCAAAACAGACTCTAGGATTGTAATAATGGATGTGCCCAGTCCGAATCAATCTACGCACCCGTTTGACCCCATCTTTTGTAAATGAAAATAAATGGAATAATGTTTTTTTTTTTTAAATAAGTGGTTGAAAATGTGGGAAAAGTTTTTCTGTTACGTGTAATATTATTTTATGGAAAATTTAATAGTTGAAAATAGAAGAGAGAGGAAATGGAATGTAGCCCCCGTTTGGCTACTATTAATTTTCATTCTATTACATTTCATTTTTTATTTTTTATTTTCAACCACACAATTTTTCATAAAATAATATTAAATGTAAATCGAAAATTTTTCATTCTTTTTCAACTACTCATTTTTCAAAAAAACACTATTCCACTCTATTTTCATTTCTACAAAAATTGGGGGCCATACCAAAGCGTAATATAATGAAATTTAATGAGATTCAAACGAGGGCTACGATAAAATCAAACTTAGTCCAGGCATGTTTGATTTAAACAAAATCGTTAATAAACACTTCCCAAATAAAATATAACTTAAAATTATAGTATTGTAAATAAAATATTAGGAAAAAAATACTGGAAGTCATGCATTAACTTTTTTTTTCTTTTTTTCTTTTTTTTTTTTTTAAGATTGATTACAATTGGATAAGCAACATTATTACAATGTTTTTTTTTTTTTTTTTTTTTTTTAAGATTGATTACAATTGGATAAGCAACATTATTACAATGTTTTTTTTTTTTTCTTTTTTATTTACATTGTACAGGAGCTACATTGCTGCACAAACATTAGCATAACGAAACGTGATAATCCAAGAATGGAGTCAAGGAAATTAACTTTCGTTCTTGCTGGATTCGGGTTTCTTAAGTGCATTGTGATCATTTGCAAGTTTCTGTTCCTCTTCAATCCTCGAATTACCCGAGGAAACCTTCTCGTTCAACCATGAGATAGTGTCAGAAAAAACAATATCGAGGTTCTCCGGTAACTCGCCATAGGAAAGAGAATGCCACATGCCCGGATACAGCTTGAAGGTCTTGTCTTCACTTCGAGCTGACTCATACAAAATTTTACTCACCGATGGATCGGTCACCTTGTCATCTTCTCCATGCAGAATCAAGAATGGAAATGAAACCTATATCATACGAGAATGAAATGTGTTAATGTGTACACCACTTAAGGCCATGTTTAGTACATATTAATGTAAAAATAAGAATGGAAAATATAGTCGTTATGGGCCCTACACAAGAAATAAAAAGTCAAATGTGGTGGCTTGATGTGATAGATAAAGATCATATTTTTCATTTTAATGGGCAAATAATGGAAAAGAAATGGAGGAAATGTTCAACACACCGAAATGGCCACAATTACACAAGATTTAATCATGTCAAGTTGATCATATCAAACATATCTAAAAATTGTGTTACTTGTCTTGTTAGACGAACTTACCTCTTCAAGTCTTTTCTCCAAATCCAGGCTGGCATTGTATAGTTGGTAGCTAGTTTGAAGACGAGGCCGACCTTTGTAGGCATATGGATTGGATCTAATCTATAAGATTATTGGGGCACCAAGTAAATATGTGAAAGAGCAGAAAAGTTATTTTCTTGCTCGTTTCTTGAAAAGAAAAAAGAAAATACTAATTGGAGAATGTGGCATTAACTTCACACGCAAAGATTTTTGTTTATTAGCGCTTACAAATAGTATTATTCTTGAAAGAAGGTGAAAGGTTTTACGTTGGCTATTATCGCTTCGTATCCCTACTCCTTTATACGAATTTGATACGAGCTATAAAGAAACATTAGGTGGACTATATTCATAACCAGAAAGATAACATATTCCTTTTTGGTAGTCTAAATTAAAGACAACAATTAAATTTAACTGTATAATTGATGGGATCTACTACTTTTCAATAATACATTTCATAAACTTTTAATCCCTGTTTGGTAAGGACTAAAATTAAATTTTTAATTGATCTTGATAAAAAAATTTGAAACGTGTGGTTGAAAAATTGTAAGATCGTAAATTATATGGTTAAAATTTATTGTTTGACTTTGCTTAAATTAAAATCTGATTTTAATCTCCATGAAACAGGGGCACGTGTCTTCAATCTCTACAAAATAAATAAATGAAAAGAAAAATTACCTCCTTTCTCACTTGAGGATCTCTGAAGGCGAGGTCCACGATATCTTGAGTTGGGGTAAGTTTCCATGTTGGGAGCACGTTGGTGAGCATAGTTAACACTTTGATCGCCAATGGACTTGGTCTCATATCTTCTGCAATCTGCATGGTGACATAAAAAAAATCCATGTGAATAAGTCGATTTTCTTTTAAATTTATTTTCAAATTATACATTCTCTTAATAAATTAATTTTGTACGTGACCCTATAACTTTTTTAATTTTTTAATCACACGTTCTAAAAAAAAATTTCTTTTCACAAAATCTATTCTCAAGAAATTATATCAAACAGGCTCTATATATTAAGTGTGAAAATCTCGTCTCGATGCATAGTTGCTGAACAATGCGTCCTTTTTCTTTACTAATATGATTAATGCATTCCAAAAAAAAGAAAAAATTAATTTCCTAAAGGTTCTTTTAGACTTTGCTAGTTTAAGTATATATGAAGAATATTTGGGAGTGTTTATAATTGATTTATAAATAGATAGATATAAATTATGAATAAGTAAATAATATTTAGGGATACTACGAAACATTTGGATACAAAGTAGGTTTTGCCGATTAAAAACAGTGCCAAACGACATGAACAATTTCAAAATATCTATATTATAAAAAGTGGTATGTCTCACCGATTTGTGAAAAATTACACATTTATTACACCTTTGATTGGAAAACGTAAATTAAATTGTGACATACACATAAACGGGCACGTTAAATAATGTTCAATCACCTTACACATTGGTGCTACGAGGACGCCACCGTCCCAATAATTAGGTTTCTTCCTGTGTAAACGTAGAACAACAGCCCCTCCCATTGATTCTCCCATTATAATCCTCATTCTTTTCACATTCTCCTCCTTCTCTGCATTCATGAAAAGTCAAAGTCAAACCCATTAATATTCATAAATATAAAAATTAATTTAACTCTTCTAATACGCCATCCACGTTGGTCAAATGGTGAGCTGGTCATGGAGAAATTCTTCTTTAAATTAACCAACTATTCAATTAATAATGTTATTTTAAATAAAGTTGATGGGATTACACGGTATCATCATAGTTCGAAGATTGACTTGGACGGGAATTTTTCCGATCCTATTAGGACTTCAATAATGATACATTTGGCATCCGTTTGGCCCTCATTATTTGTAGAATTATTCTTCTTATTTCCAGAATTTGTGGTCTCCACGCCTGTATATCTTGCTACAGTCAGACATTTGTCTTAACTTTTCAATGGATGTTTAAGTTAAATTTCTCAAACTGCCCTTAACATGTTCTTGTAGAGCATTGCATCAATTGTATAGTAGTTGAAGATAATTTTGTCCAACGTATTTTCAGCGGTACAATAATGGGAAATTGAAGTATGACAAGACAATGACCTTTTGTATTTTTTTTGTTTTGATTCTTTCATGGTAGAATAATGAGATTTGAAAAAAATGTCATTATAACATGCTTCAAATGAGGGCTTGGTATATTGAATTCTAATAAGAATTAATAACTCTAATTCTATTCTACCAAAAATAATCAATTAAAAAAAAATCAAGAACACACAAAATTTATAGAGGTTGACCTCAATGTGAGACTACTTCCTTTCCCGTCACTAAGTAATTCACTATGATAAAAAATAATAATAATAAATAAATAAATTTTACAAGAGAAATTATCAATTCTATCTCATCTAACATTTCTCTATCTATTTGATGATAATACATAAAGTCTAAGAACTGCTTTTTATTTATAAGATAAATTATGGCAAAATCAATTTTCATAAGGACTCTAATTTCATAGAATTTTGCTAGAATCTGATTTTCATTCAGTGAATGGAGGGCTGCCTGTCCCCTTTCCAACCCCAATGGCAACCTCACCATTGAGGTCGATCCACAACCAATTCCACGATAATAATTAGACTCCACAACTTAACAAATTATACCCTATCAACATGTTGATGTATAAATTGTGTTAAATTTATTTACCGCAAATATTTGTGAAGTGTTCGGAGCAGTCATCGACGAGATTATCAAAACTAGGGATGTAACCAAGTAGACCAGATGATTTTCCATGCCCTTCATAGTCTATACCATGAACTTCATAACCAGCATTCACAAGCCGAATAGCACAACCTAATCACAAAATCATCCAAGGTAATATCGACATCAAGATCAAATTCAAACTCAATATTGGACACGACTAGACTGTGTAAATTTTATGCATACGAATATTCACCTTTCATGGAGATGCTGCTCTCCAATGCATATCCATGGCACAAGAAGATCAAGGCTTTTGGCTGGGAATTTTCAGGCACCCATCTACATGTGAAAAGTTTTACTCCTCGAGAATTCACTATATATTCCTGAAAGATAATTATTAAACTTATATCATGATATATAAAATCATGCATAAATTTTATGAGAATTTATGAAAAAAATAGGTTAAACCTCTTCAAATTTGATACTGCCATCTTTAGTCGCCTGTAAAGATTCATAAATAAAACCAATAAAATGTATTAGCAGACTATAACGACGAACTAAATCTTATTTTTCGAAGGAGCAATGCTTACCATGAAAGGGATTCTCTTTAAGATTGTTCAAGAAAAGAGGGAAGAAGAAGATGATGATGAAGAAGAAGAAAGAGGGTTTATTAAGATAATCTTGGGCAACAAACAAAATTATTGTTGAAAAATATAAGGAAAAAATCTTGGAAAAAAATCTTGAAAAGGACTTGGAATTGGACTGTGTAAAAGGTTCAATATTGATTGCTATTTATCATAGGAATGGTTGGCCAAGAATTTTACAACTCGCGAAGACAAAATTTGGAAGGGAACCATTGTCCTTTCAGAATTCGCCAACTGGACAAGCCACGTTGTAAGCCCCGTTTGATAACAATTTTCTATTCAAAAAAATCAATTTTTTTATCGTTATTTCACTATTTAAATCGTCATTTTTGACTTCTTCACTCTCGGACGGGACCCACTTTTTCTCTCTAATGATCAAAAAATCAATTTTTATAATCACTACCGAACAAGTCTTAAATATATTTTTATTAAATTTCCAAAGTTGGAATGTCCTAATTTCGTCATCAATAACCCCAGATCCCAATAGTAAATATATTTTTATTATTAAATTTCCTTAGTTGGAATGTCCAAATTTCGTCATCAATAACCCACGGACCA